TATCAATTACCCTTGTGCCACTGTGCTGTATATTGTTCAATCGTTAACAAGCATCTATTTCAAAAATTTACTTTGCCCTCGAACACGTTATTTAAACATCGTAGCATTAAAATGAACGAAGCACTGTGCTAAGTACTTAGTGACGAAGACCGTTGGCATTTTCACGAAGGCCAATCTATAAAATTTAATAACGACGGCACTGGTAAGGTAAGTGAACAACCGATTGCTTGGTTTCTTCCAGTATCGGTATCACTGACTGATCAAAGCTGTTGTGCTGACTTGATCTTCCTTACTTCATTTGTGCACAACTTAATTAGAAGAGTACCGAACAACCACCCAAGACTAATGAGGAACCCTTGCCTAACGAGCCTCACCTTCTTGGCGAGCTTAAGCTAGAAATAACAATCACCAAACGGCTGCCAGAATGGGTACCACCCCAAGCGTAGATGGACTTTGTTAAACTCGACGAAAATTAATTCTATGACAACGCTTTTGAATCAAAGCTATTGAAAGTCAGAATAGAGAGAGGCCATTCCATGGAACCTGCCTATCCCTCCTCGCAAGTGGCCACGCGATACTCTCTGCGCCTGCTGTTTGACAAGTCACCATACTCAGATCGGCCAGACTGGAGACAGCAGGAGGGTGGACTAAATAGCAATGAGTTTTGCAACCACAAGGAGTTCGTTGGTCGGAGGGACCCAGATCTGGAGAACAAAAGCAGAGCTATGAATGATAATGCACCCTGGCGTTCGGGTGAATGCATAGTCTGCTGATCGCCCTTTTATTCGGTGATGATGCAGGACTCTTACGCAGAGAAAGGCATGGTCAGAAGTGATATTTATTGCTGATGAAGGAATCTATCATAGGTATGCAACTAAAGTAGCCCAAATGTTGAAACTTAAACAGAAGCAATGACAAAAACGCCCTAACGATTGCTGGAGGAGTCAACGCTACCGTATTCAAGCGCACCTTGGCATATGATCGCGAGGAAGGAAATATAAATAATGCAGGGCTCTCGGGGTAGCAGACTGCGAATTCGGATAAGGTCTTAATTTCTTCAACTAAGACTAGGAAGTATTAACTTAGAACTCATTCGAAAAATATCTCAATCGTAAATCAGGAGTCCTAATCGATGAAGCTGCATTCATGGGACAGACCATCTGGAAGAGCTTGACCAGCGCTGCACTGTACTCTAGCCTCTGTTTGCCTGCCTCTGCGAGTAACTCAGATCTTTACGACTCATTGCTTCATTATGAGCCTTCCGCCAGGTACTAACCAGCCTCTGTCGCGTTGAAGTCAGCATCGTCAAATAATGCGCCAACTAGAAGAAATACGATCAGACCTTTAATCGTTAGGAGACCTACACCACAATCTATTCCAGTCCCTGAAACTGTCTCAACATACCCAGAAGCAGGTAAAACTTGCTACTATTCTTTGAGAACCAGGTGCCAGATCTAGCTAGCGAGTATTCAATATAAGATACGGTAGCACTCACGACGCACACATAAGCTACCTTCAAGTGGATATTCAATGAATCTGAAGATGACCCGGAAGCACCGTGGATCAAATCAAACCTCATACCGAGCTTCATGGTTTGGTTTCGTCAAGGACAAAGAGTCGTTCACGTGGTGGGAAAACCCGAGTCGGGGAAATCAACCCTAATGAAGTATTTATATGAACATAAGAGTAACAAGTCATTACTAGAAGAATGGTTCGGTTGCTCAAATTTACTGCTCTTGCCATTTTCCTTTTGACGCGCCCGGTAACAGCAAAGTTTACTTCAAACACTGAACCGTTGCTTATTGCAGAACGCAATACAACAAGTTCCGTACTCTGTCGAAGTACTATTCCCGCATGTTCATGACGGCACCTCAGTATACAAGCCGAAACTGCACCACCGCGGAATAAAGGACCCAGGATCGTACGCAGCACGATAACGAGCACAGAGCCGAAGACTGCGACGGCGAATGCGACCGAAGCACCGCCGTAATCGTATACCTTCGACCTCAAAGCTTCCTAGGAAGCATTTTTGGCACTCGTTTAAGTCACCACAGGTTTTTGCTTAAAAGGTTTTACCGGAGTGAAAACGAGGGGTCGCGTCTCGTGTACGGGATGGGTGGAGGTAACCACCAAGGCATATAAGTTAGACATAAGGAATATGGGATCATGGAGACGGGATACGAAAAAGAGGCGCGACAACTTAGAAGTAGTAATTATGCATTGCTTGCCCTTCCCTTTGTCCTTGCAGTTAGATTTGGACATGCCTTTCCTTGGAAAGGTAGCAGGACCCCAAGTCCATGACATTAGTGCCCCTTAGGAGGTCATGGGAATAACTACCGCAAAACTGTATACTTCGTTATATATTACCCTCACGGCGTTAGAGAATATCATCATCATTACCTAAGCAGTAGGTGAATAACCAATCAGAGCAAATATGACTTATGCCTTCGCACTTTTTAATTATTTTTGCGGTCCCCTAACAATTAACTTCATCTCGCCGAGCCGTAATTTCAGTGGCAGTGTCAAGTGTAAAAAGCCAATCAGGCACCAAAGTCAACGGACTTGCTGGGCTTATAATCTTGGCAGGGCATTTAAAACCAATGAGATCAAAGATAGCTGGTACCTTCGCAAATCTTGAGATTATTTGGGAAAATGCGGCTGAGAATGGTTTTCAGCTGCTGAGCCGTCAACATCATGAGGCCATCTCTCTAAAGCAAGCAGATGGCACAGTCGACCTTCGCGGTACCGAAATTTCCCACGCACTCGAGGTCTTATTCGAAGACCAACGTGTTCTAAACAACCGTCGGCCTTTCATTCTCATCGACGGGCTCGGTGAATTCGACGATATTAGCAACCCTGTGGACTACAACGATCTGGTCTAGATTATTCAAGCTTGGGTTGAAAAGTCCGACAGACGGATGGAAATAAGCGTTTCGAGTCAGGAGCTTCCTGCGTTTATAACTTCCCAGGAGTCCTGCACATATGACTACAGGACCTAAGGGACGATGACATACGCTCCGTTGTCTCTGAGCGCATATATTCGTGCCACCCTGGTGCAAAGTATCCAGTATTGAGTGCTCTCATGAACTCGCATCTCCATGTCTCATCGAATGCATCACGAACCGACCCGAAGGCGTCGTTCTCTGGGTTAAACTGATATTTATTGATTTGCGAAAATGCCAGAATAGTGGTTATACCATGTCACAATTTCGTGCGAGACTAGACAATGCCCCAATAGCTCTAGAGAATTTCATGGTCTACATGACCAATTCAATCGAAAAGCGATATCGGTAATGAACCTACCCTCTATCTCCTCTCATAGGGTTTATCATCGATTTGAAAGCAGACTTTGGAATACTAGATATATTTAATATTCGTACATTAGGTATCTATCAAAACTGCTTATTTCTTATATAATGAATTAGCCGCACGAAGACTTAACGTATGAATTGAACGAACATTTTCCACAATCTTTCGAATCACGCGGCCGAAATATCAACCCTAACGGCGGGAATGCTAGCTCGCCACTCAAATGGATTATTGAGGTTGGGTGGTTGGGGCTAAAATTTACATGTCGCTCAGTCTTCGAGACATCTCAGAACTTGGTTATTAACAACCCTCAGGTTTTCAAACTGGTCAAAGAGCTACTTAACTGTTAGGCTTATCTCATGGCTGTATATGAATTCGATTTGACAGATTCTCTACATCAACGTAAAGTTACGAGGCCTCCTAACTCTTTTACTATATGCTGAATGTTTCAAAGAGCAGCGATTGTGGGAATGCCTAGGCACTATAGACTCCAGGCTCATGAGGCAAAGAAAACTAATGAACCAGCAATTGCAATGCTGTGGATATACTAGCAAAGTGTAGTAGCCATCGGTGCCTTGATCAACAGTACGCTCAGCGCCATATATTAGGATGATCTTCAAGTAGTGTGATCAGGTTAAAGTACTCCCGGAGATCCTTAAATACCTGAGTGAGCTCCGGAGGCACCATTCACTGATCTGCTGGACTCCTAGGGGTCTAGTATCACAATGCTGAACTGCGTGGCTGTAACATAGGGATCTACAATCTCGCGATACTAACCCTACAAATTTATTTTGATAAGCCGTCATACATAAGTTCGCAGTCCTCGTTATTTCTTGAAGCCGCTTTGAATGTTCACTGTGAGTACGTCGTCTATAAAGTGAAGACCAATAATGTAGCCAGTGACAAACTCAATGCCTCGCACCTCCCCGCGTTATCGTTCTAGGGAAGCACTTCTCTATTCCCCCAGGAGTCCATTGACTATTCCACATTAACGCCTTCATTCAGCACCAAACCCATATGACTAAAGGTTGTCTTGTAATCGAGACTGGAAGCTTTTCGCTAAAGAAACCATTGGTAAGTGGGAACCCGAAATTTCCGTTGTCCGCATTGATTGATTGTTTATTTTTAACGTTAAAGGGTTTTAACCAAACCTCTCAGGGGGTATGAGACGTCGCCAGGCTATATACTATATGTACATATATCTTCCAATTTAGACCTTAATGGGCTAGCTTTGTATATGACCCGTGGCCACTCTTTCTAGATCGTCGTGCCTTTATTTCCTGTGCGCTACATTAAAGTAGGCCGGCTATTCGGACGCTAATAGGCATGTTGACTAATGGAGATTGCTGTAAAAAGCGTGATCATTTCGTATCGTCGAGCGCTTAGCTTATCGCGGAGTTAAGCGGAGGTGTTTCGTTCGAGTCGGAATGCGAGGACTGGGCGCAATTCTTTTAGGCTCGTCGCCTACAATACTGGATGACATGGTTTTTGGGCTTAGTTCTGGAGAGGCGGTTTAACCACTTGCCTAGGTGGCGAAAAATAAGGTTGAGAAAGCTTAAAAAAATAAAAATAAAAAAGATTGGGGTGAACCGGGCTTGAACCGGTGACCTTTAGATAATTGAAGAATGAAGTTGACTTCAGTCTAACGCGCTCCCAGCTGCGCCATCACCCCACCTGTAAATAGAAACCAACGACCGATGCCGGACTCGAACCGACAATCTTTAGAGGTAGAGTAAATTACCCGAAATCTAACACCCTAGCCATTAGGCCAATCGGCCAGTGTCTGAATAGAATACAAACGGCCCAATTAGCCATGGAGTACGTACGGTCGAAGTCTGGTAGGTGTTCGGCATAAAGACAGATCCTCGACTCCGAATAAAACTTCTTGAGTTGATTAATCATAAATACGAGCGCTTCAACGCCGAGGAATCCGCGCTCTCTATGGAAATGTTCAAAGAGATGCCTTCTATATACATTCTAGAAATTGAGGAACACGTTCCCAAGCCCAAACCGCAGCCAGCGATCTTGGGGAAAGAGCAAAGTACCAGATGTTCCAGTACTATACGGGCTTCCAGGCATGTCTTTCATTGAGCGACATATGACTACCTTACTGTTACTTTCCTACAACCATAGTACATAGCTACATGTAGGAACGATACAGCTGGCAGTACTGGTCGCCATGAAGACATATCTCATTGGCGCATTGATTAAGGTTCTGAATTTGTGTCACATGACTTCTACTAACATTGTGTTAGCTATGTAATTATCTATAGCCCTTTCTGCATTTATTTACCTACCTAGTGAGTTATCATGGAATCTATCACTACTTTCATCATCACCGAAGGTTTCACAACCTCATTGTCTCGCCGTGCTTCTCGTCGTGAACAACCCAACCTAGGGTTGGCAATTTCGAGCCCACGGGCTTTTGCTAAGAGCCCGAGTAAATCACTGGGCTAGCATTTAGATAGGCGAGTCACTCACTCCGGCTCTTGCCAAAAGTCCATGGGCTCGAAATTGCCAACCCTAACCCAATCCCTCGGAAGCTATCACATTGGTCAAGAGATTCCCTATGTCAGCGGTCATTGGCGAGCAAAACCTGCATCCCGAACGAAGCCTACGGGTTCTGGCCCCCCCTCAACAGCCCCCCTCCCCTAAAATTTTTTAAATTTTAAATTTTAAAAAACCTAGGCAGTAGGCATGGTATACTCTGCATAATAACATATCCGGCTTGGGCTGGGTGAACAGTAAGTTGTAGTTGAAGCTGGGAGTTTAACCTAGGCCCACAAAGAAAGTCTTAAAAGCGTGTAACAGACGCTTTTGGACTTTGGAGTTGCTGCTAGGAAAATCCTTTAAATACTGTTTCTTCGGGATTGCACATTTTCGTGTAGGAAAATCTTTCAGGGCGTAAGAAACTCTTAGTAGTTAGCATCCGTGTTCTGAACCATCATTCCTATGATACGTAGATGGACCAAGCACAAAAATGTTCGAAGCAACAAGCCCCAGGTACCGACGTTCATGTCGTTTACTCTTTTCTCCTACATACCTAGCGGGTCAAAAGGGACGCTCATAGCTCCAGGCGGGGCAGGCAAGCATCCAACCCTTTTCATTATATATGATCTATGTACATAAAACAGATAATAGCAACACAGTTTAACCAGCTATCACATTAAACTGGGCTTCGCTGTTAGGCTGAGTAATTACAGTCTAGTAAAAGAATCTTGATATATACCTTAAGTCTGGTTTAGCAGCCTAATTGACTCAGCATATTAAATAAACTTAAAAACTTACGCAGCTATCACGTAGGGCCTCTAGATTGTCAATATTCTTGAGGCAAAGCAATATAATATAGTGAATACAGAGCTATTTCTGGCTTTGGAGCGGTAAGCCTTCGGGTAATTTGCTTGCTATCAGCACGCTGATATCAGTTGGTTTTTGATATGCATTCACAGATTACCTAGCTACTCTTATAATTCACTCTCTCATCATCTAAGCTACCTAGGCACTTGCTGGCAATAGATTTCTCCAAACTTCCCTTTCATCATTTAGGTCAATTACAGCCACGCATTATTCTGGGCAAGATACATCTACACGATCTGCCGTCCCCGGTAAACTGTCTCAAAGAAGTGACTACCTAATCTTTGTCATTTCATATTAAGGAGCATACTGGCAACTACACGCACTAGCCGTACACTTTCTACTTTGATACATTCATCATAGCAACCAGTTAACAGATAGGGACCTCGGAGCTCCCTCCTCTTACTTACGTATTGGGATACGTACCAGGTAAGATACTTAAGGTATGTACTTAGGCATGATGCTATCACGTTTCCAGACTCCTAAGACGCGCCTTCCTCTACACACCCCATTTAAAAACACGGTCGTGGTCGTATGCACCAACAGTAATACTGCCCATAGGCACTTACCTACCTCCCCACCATAAGCCTCAATGAACTGTGCGACTCTCTCCCATTCTCTTCCTTACACAACCATCCCTCCCTCTATTAAGGAAAGGTACAGTTTTACCCCTCCACCATCTCTTCTCCACCGTCCTCACCGGAATCACTCAAGTGCGTGCTTGAGGGTCTCTTCTAATAACTTCCCTTACTAGGCGGAAAAGCACTTTTCAGCATCTTCCTTTCACACTAACTTCCATTGTGCATCACAAACGTCTTCATTTCGGCTCTTAGAGCACTCTCCATCTTCAATCCGCAATCTAAACACAAGTTGCCTCGTGTCAACACCTCTATATCTTATAACTTCACACGCATCTACTATTCAAAGTAGCCCTAACATACTTCGTCGCTTGTGCCAACATCTCTCTGCTAACAGCGGAACGTCCCTCTTCACCTCATCTTATTTACTAGTCTGGGACTTGACACCTCCAGCACCATAATTACATTTCAACAAGGTTTGCATAAACCTGGTGAGCCCATACGGCTAGCTCTTTCGTCATTGATAAACTCATAGACATATTGGAACTCTGCTACCTTCCTTCCTATCCTGCCAATTCACTGGTCTGCCTAGGTGCCAAACTATGCATCTGCCTATATACATAGACCAGCTCATTCACTTCTTCAGCTACACACTGTTTCTTCTGAAGACACTTCACCAATTTCACCAACATATTCCACTTTTCCCGTATTAATTTCGTCGTTCGAACGGGGGCAACCCGTCACACTAACTATTTCTCAGCCTAACGTCACCCAGCATGTCTCAGTGGGGAGCGACTGCAGGTCCATCCAGCTGGGGTCCATCCAGCAACACTGGAAATGCTCAGTGGAACGATGGACCAGCTAATGACCCTTGGAACGGCAATGATGGCTGTAAGGGAGGAAGAGCCACGACCTCTTTCGACAACAGCAACGCTAATGTCAATGATTTCGACATTCCCACTGGTGAAGAGAGCGGCCAAGGTGGAGGAGGCAGTGGCGCCTGCTTTAACTGTGGCCAGGAAGGGTAAGTCTATTCTTGAGGTATCGGACACTAACGAGCCTGTACTAAGTCAAGCTTCCAGTCATAATAAAGCCGATTGCCCCAACCCCCGGGTCATGAAATGCAGACACTGCAATGAGGAGGGCCATATGCAGCGAGATTGTCCTACTGCGCCTCCTCGTGAGTTTACTGGCGAGTGTCGCCTCTGCCAACAGGAGGGACACATGGCCAAGGACTGCCCGCAAAAACCTGCCGAGCTCTGCAAGAATTGTCAGCAAGAAGGTAAGCCCTGTCGACAACACTTCTCATATTAAGATATCTTGCTAAGTATGATTGTAATTAGGACACATGGCTGCTCATTGTAAGAATCCTCGTAAGGTCGACCGATCTAACATCGAAGAAGTCGCTGCTGAGCTTGCCTGGACCAAGATCTGCGAGGCAACCCGCTCTGGCGACATGGACGATGTGAAGGATGCTGTTCAGCAGTACGTCAAGGCATGCCCAGACACTACATATCCCGAGCTGGAGAGTGCCTTCCGCACCCAGGGTATCGGACTGTACTTGATCGCCACGGAGAAGCCGTCCATGCTTCCCACAATGACCAACATGGATTTCCAGGGCAATCTGGATAAGAAGTATAAAGTCAACTATCGTTTTGACCCAAGAGCGGCTCGTCCGCGTGAACGAGAGTTTTGGCCCGCTGACGCCAAGGAGAACATGGCGCGACTAGGAGACGCCGGTGAGGTCGTCGACAGAGGTCTCGCTAAATGCACCAATTGTAGCGAGCTGGGGCACATTTGGAAGAATTGCCCGCAGGAGAAGATGGAAAAGGAGCGCGTTGTAATCATGTGCTTCAATTGTAACGAGCCTGGACATCGTATTCGTGATTGTAAGTCTATAGATAGGGGTGTGCGCTGCCATACTGACCAGCTTTGACCAGGCCCTGTTCCACGTATTGACAAGTTCGCCTGCAAGAACTGCGGGTAAGTTCGGCGTTGATTCAATATCTCCTGAACTGAAAAATACTGACATAATATTCACTCCATAGGAAGAGTGGGCACAAGGTTGCGGATTGTGAGTAGCCACATAGCATTCGGGTTTCTACGTATGATCCAATCACTAATAGCTTTGAAGGTCCTGAGCCGCGCGTCGCAGGAGCTGATGTAGAGTGTCGCAAATGCGGTGAGAGTAGGTTATTCCCCGGTTGATCAAGTTGACAGTATCTAATTAGCTCATCATAGTGGGCCACTTCTCGAAGGACTGCCCTCAGGGAGGTGGCGGAGGTGGCTCGCGAGACTGTTTCAACTGCGGCCAAGAGGGACACTCTGCTCGCGACTGCCCGGAACCCAAGAAGACAATCTGCCGCAACTGCAGTCAGGAAGGCCACCGAGCGAATGAGTGCCCGGAGCCCAAGGACATGTCCAAAGTCCAATGCCGCAACTGCGACGAATTTGGTCACGACAGTCGAGGATGCCCTAAGCCTCGAGATTGTAAGTTGCTCTACGGGTTTGTACTTATTACCATATATAAATACATTACTAACACGCTACAACAGACAGTCGCATTCAGTGCCAGAACTGTGGCGAATACGGTCATACGAAGGTTCGATGCAAGAAAGAGACCGTGGCGCCGGAGAGCTTTGACACCGGCAACAACGACCTTACCGCAGAGAATGGGGGTTATGGAGGAGCTGAAAAGATGCCTTCCGAAGCCTGGATGCACAAGACAGTTGCAAATGCTGATAATGCATGGAACACGAATGGTGATGTTGGAACCAGCGATTGGTAGACTGATTGACGGTCCACTCGGTGATTGTTAGTGAGTTGCGGTTTGTAGGAGGCGACGA